GGCACCCATTTCCAACATTAAAAAATAGAACAGAGTATCTACTGCTCAATGGACAGGTGAGGACTTGAGAGATGGAGTAGTCCCTGTGACACACAGCACCTCATGAAATGTAGTAAAGAACTGAGAGCTTATAATGCATAAAGTAGAAAGTCCAGGTGTTTGTCCATTTATTTAAGATTTGCCTATATATCTTTTCTGATTCCTGAAAGGAAAAATGACAAGACTCACTGTGTAGCAGGACACCTTGAAGGTATTCTCTCTGTTCCAGAGCAGCCCCAAGATTTCCACGTGGGGTTTGGAGCATGGGGTGATCAGAATGGGAAAGGCTGTATAATACAGGGCAAAGTCTTTGGAAGCAGATAGACTCTTAGTAGTACTTCATGCTGCTCACTACCCTTAGTCCTTAGATGATACTCTTACTAAGGAATTGGCACTAAGCATTTATGTCTCGTGTACTTAATGAATACTCGTGTGTGTGTGTGTGTTTGTTTATTGATATATAGATGTGGATTATTTATTTTATAATATTATACAAGCAAACTTAGCTAAAATATATAAGAAGTCTTAAAGACAATAGACTCACCATCTTGTGTAAATCCCACCTAACCCAAGAATCTGTCAATGGAGCCACCAAATAAAATGTTCTGGGAAGAACTAACTTTAGACAATAGATAGCTATTTACCTTAACAGCTTTTTGAACATAGTTGTAAATCTTTTTTCTTAAGTTTCCTCACATTTGAACTACAATATAAAATATGAATAGTTGTGGCAGCAAGTTCCAGTATAAAGACCATGAACTTGGGAATCCAAAAGAAAGACCTGAGGTTGAACACCATCTTGGTCACTTTAACTTAATTTTTTGGTTACCAGTTTCATCCTATGTGTGTTGGTAAAATAATGACCACTTCATAAGTTTCATGTATTGTTTTGTCCCTGCAGTATTGTATGACGAGGCCCTGACACAATGCCTGACGTGCAAGAGATCTGCAATGATTGGTGATTCTACTCTCACATCACTTAAAGTGAAAGGATGTCCTCAACTTTTCCTCATCTCCACAAGTATAAGACTTTCAGGAAAGGACATCTCCTTTCTTGAACAAAAAGTAAAGAAAACAACAAGTAAAGAAAAATATAAGGGAAGGGTTACACTGTTGTCTTTCTTCTTCTGGAAACTTCATCTCCTAGAAGAACTGAATTCAGGTGCTTTCTACTTTGAGGATGCATTTAGTTTCCACTTCCGTCCCTGACCTCCAGAGCAAAAAGCCATGCACACTGTACAAAGTCCTGGAAATAGGAGTGAATGTGCCAGGCATCTCTGCACTTCCATTTCCATGGGGGTTACTTTCTCTTTTAGACCCAATATGTTAGAAACACCTGAACTGGTCTTCAATTAATCTTTAAATATTTGGATTCTCTGTCCCACTAACAAAATGCGGTCTGTAACTGTCTGTTTTCTATGATGTACTATGTGTCTAAGGTAGCCCCAATGGGCCTCAAACATCATCAGGACAATGGCTGTTACCTCTTACTTTCTCAAATGGGGCCGTCATCCCTTTCAAAGCCACTATGATCTCAAGTACTTTGAAAATAAGTTTCCTCAGATATGTAAGGAACGAGAAAGAGAAAACTCTTTGTGATGGACTTTTTGTTTGTTGTTTGTTTTGCTTGTCTCCCCCACCCTCCCCAGGTAGAAAAATTCCACAAATTCCAGACACAAAGCATAACTCCATTTCAAAGAAAAAATGAGAGAAGTTCAAATTTTCCAAAATTCAAAAATTCTTCTTGGGGAAAGAATAAAGCAAGAGAGGGCGCCTGGGTGGCTCAGTTGGTTAAGCGACTGCCTTCGTCTCAGGTCATGATCCTGGAGTCCCAGGATAGAGTCCCTCATCGGGCTCCCTGCTCGGCAGGGAGTCTGCTTCTCCCTCTGACCCTATCCCCTCTCATGTGCTCTCTCCCTCTCATTTTCTCTCTCAAATAAATAAATAAAATCTTTAAAAAAAAAAAGAATAAAGCAAGAGTTTTGTGAGACCGACTTCAGGAACTCAGCATATTTTTAAAACTTCCTTTTACTTGTTTCATTTTTTGAGAGACAGGTCTGAAATAACAGATAATGTTTTCCCCTTCTGCAGCTGGGCAATGTGGTAGCTTTTACCAGCTTCTCTCAGTCATAAACGTGTTTTAATGGACTGACATGTGCTTAATAATACAGGCAGCACCTGGATGCTTTAGAGCAAAGTGCCGCCAGGGCCTATCCTATATTAAAACTGCATTATTGACCTGAGGCCTACAAGTCTCTGTACTCAAACATCTTGCCAATTAGAGAGAGAAACAGCCTAGTGCCAGCTCACATTTTTCTTCTTCAAATAGGGAGGACTGAAGTCTAACTTTTATAACTCTGAACATGAAAAATATTGTGTTTCTAAGTGATTAACTCACCTCCATTACTGGAAATTTTATAAATTTTATAAAAGTCCTGTGACTACACAAATTGACCCAGCTTTTATGACTTTGTGGCGTGAGGTGCCTTCTAGCTATAGGTCAAGTCAGTATGGGAGGGAAAGGAATTTGCTGAATAGTTTCTTAACACTGTGCTTAGGATTTTAGATACATTATCTCATTTAATCACCATCATGGCAATCTCCTGATGTAAGAACTTTTTTTTTTTTTAATCTTTTCCATCTCATGTTTTAGGCAAACTCTGAGATGGTCCCTTATGATCCATGACTCCTAATATACACATCTTTGTATAATGCCCTTGGTTTGAGCAGGGCCTAGACTTACTTACTTGTTTCTACTACTGAACAGAGCATGGTAAAGGGATGGAATGCCACACCTGGTGTTAGGTTATAAAAAGACTATGGCTTTTGTCTTGAGTGTTCTCACTCTTTCTTGAATCACTCATTTTGGGATAAAAGCACTATCATTTCATGAGGCAGCCTTCTGGAGAGGCCATGGGATAAGTTTGGAGGTGGATCTTCTGAGGCCTGCCAACAGCCACATAAGTTAGCTTGGAAGTAGATTTACCCAGAGTTGAACTTTGAGATGACACTAGCCCCCACCAACTACTTAATTGAAGCCAGAATTACCCAGCCAAGGTGCCCCTGGATTCCTGACTCTTATAAACTAGGACACGATAAACATTTTCAACCACTATATTTTGCTATAGTTCGTTACACAACCATCAGTAACTAATACACTCTCACTTACATATAAGAAAAAGTTAAGAAGTTTATTCAGGGTCATAGAACAGTAAGGAAAAGAGGTAACTTTTTAACTTAAGTTCCAGACCCAGGCTCTCCTACTATTCCAGGGACTCGATGGACTTTTTGTTCACTAAGTGGCAAATGAGGCTCTCCCACAGTCTGACCTGATCTTGGATATTAAGTCATGCCCTTTACTATTTAAATCAATTTTCTCTAATTTATTTGGATAACAAAACTCGCAGTCCAGTGGGAGAAGAAGAAGGAGAAGTCTCCTTCCAAGAAGGAGAAGGAAGACATTTAAGAAAAAAATGTGACGTGGTGTTATCCAGGATGGATATTGACCCAGGATGCCCAGAGGAGGGGTATTTGATTCAGACTGTAGAACCAGGGAGGCTTTTCAAATGATTTGTTGACTTAGGAACATGCCTCAGCCCCTAATATGATGCCTGGCACATGGTCTAACCTCAGTAAGTACTTGTTGACTAAGTACTACTTCTGGAAGGACAGGACACACTAGTAAGATAACAAAGAGAGAAGGAGGGAGAAAGTTCTACTGTCTCATGTTACAAAAATATCACATGGAATAGTCAGAGTTTTGAAAAACATGACTTCTTCATAAATCTGTTCCATAGTATTGTTACATATTAGAATCTGTATATTGCCATAAAAGTCTTTCCAAAATTAGCTATTCGAGGACCAGTTTAAAAAGTTTTGCCATACCTAGAGGCCATATGCATCAGTATTTAATTAATATCTTAAAAATATACTTTAAAAATATTTTTTAATTTAAATATTTTTGTTTATTTACTTGAGACAGAGAGAAAACAAGAAAGCACAAGGTGGAGGAGGGTCAGAGGGAGAAGGAGAAGCAGACTCCTTGCTGAGCAGGGAGGGGGCTGGATCCCAGGACCCTGAGATCATGACCAGAGCCAAAGGCAGACACTTAACTACCTGAGCCATCCAGGTGCCCCTAAAAAGTATTTCTTTAAACTCACTAATTTTCACTTGAAATAATATTTGGTGGCCGTAAAATGTCCACAGAAGTGTGTATGATATACAGGGAAACTACAGGCTTTGAAGCCAGACAAATTCAGGATGAAATTGTTGTTCCATCACTTATTAACATGTGCTTTTGGAAGTTACTTAGCTTCCATGACTCTTCACTTCCTCATCTATAAAGTACCTATAAAATACCCTCCTTGAACGAGCATGATGAAGATTCCATATAATATACGCCATGTCTGTCGAGACGCAGCCACACGTTCAGAAAGTGGTCTATATTATGCTATATTTAGGTAGGAATTCTTATTGCCACTTCTCAAACAAGTCTGCTGAGGAATAAGGAAATTAAGAGACTTGTCAAAGTTTCAATAGATATGTCTGAATTCAGTGGTGTTTTTTTGTTTGTTTGTTTTGTCTTGTGTTTTTTTTTTTTGAAAAAAAGTCAACTCAGGGCACCTGGGTTGTAAGTTAGTTAAGTGTCTTCCTTCTGCTCAGGTCATGATCTCAGGGTCCTGGGATCCAGCCCCACATTAAGTCAGGCTCCCTGCCCAGCGGGGAGCCTGCTTCTCCCTCTGCCCCTCCCCTCTACTCCACCCCCACTCTCAAATAAATAATATATATATTAAAATTATATATTTATGAAAAGTGGCCTCTTCAGACTTAGAGTAAATTAGTGAATACTGGGTCATCCCACATCCTTGAGAGCTGGATTCTGCACATTTTAGTCAGAATCTCAAATGTGCTTTGACTTGGCTGAACAAGAAACCGACCTAACAGTTGTCAGAAGACAGTACCTGTGAGGATTTCAGCTGTGCGTTCGGTCATTTTCTGAATCACGAGTCTCACGGTTCCACCCTCCAGGCTCAGCAACAGGGTCCCCGAGCCCTCAGACAGCTCTGTGGACAGAAGCAGACCATCCTTGTTCCATGTTCGAAACTGGAAACTCACTGAAAGCCCATCAATTTGGGGGGTGCCGGGCAGCAGCAAATAACTGCTGCTGGAGTTGACAAATGTGATGGGAACAATTTGTGGTTCAGAGCAGGAAAAAGTGACATTGCCCTGGAAAACAATAAAAATCAAACATATAAAAGCCATTTTTTATTCTGCAATCTGACAGCTGATATAAACAACCACCTGGAGCTGACCTTAATTTCAGGATCATTCTATATGCAGCTGCAAGTTCTTAAAGGAAAAAGAAAATGTCAGTTTTGTTCAGATATACCTGTGAGACTGTTTCTATTCCTGTTTTATGGATCACACTCTTATCTGCGAGAAGGCCATCAGAGACCCCAGTTGGGGTAGGGGGTGGGATGGGAAGCATCAACATTTTCTAAGGAACAGGTATGAAAACAAGTGCATTCATGAACTGAATAAATATGTACTGCAAATCAACTATGGGCCAAGCACGGGATAAAGTTTAAAGGGATCCACATGAAAAAACTTTGTTATGACTTGGAAGGTGCTACAAGAGAGATAGACACAAGCTCCCAGGGGAGCCTGGTAGAAGAAAGAACTAAACATGTAAAGGTTTCACAAGGGAGGTGATGCTTTCCTGGAAGGAAGCGGAGAAGGAGAGTTGTGAGTGTGCCTGGCTAGACTTCTCAGCAAGTGGCCTGCTGTATGCAAAATTTAGAGAAATTAGCAAAATCGGATTCCTGGGAATTATGGGGAACTTGTCATTTCTGAACATTAAGTGATGCAGGGAGGGCCAGGGGCCATGATGGAGGTGAGACCAGAAAGATGAGTAGAGGTAGAGTTTAAAAGCCCCTTTATGTTTGCTGACGTTATCATCCAAGTTTAGAAACAATAAGGTGACACGGTCAGGTTTTAAGCTACTAAAGACGACTTTCAGTAGCATGAGGAGTGGAGGGAGGGGCAGATGGGAAGACTAGAGGTGGGGAATATTAAATGTGCATCAACTAGAATCAGTAGATAAGGAAGAATAGTATTCTTTGCATAAGTGAGGGGAAACTGGTCCAAGTTTTCCAGGGAGGAACACCCTGGCTTGACTGGCTGCCTGAATTCCAATTTTCTACTCAGGTGTCCAGATAGGGAGGTTATATACCTAGTACAGCTCCCAGTACTGGAGCAGGTTGATTGTTCAACTACAAAATCCTCATAGTTTGGAAAAACATCCCTATGTCCCAACCATGTCTGTTAATGATAGTCCTGCATTTCTGAAAACAATCAGCAATCTCTAAACAAACTTAAACCGATAGCACATTTCTGATGGTTCACTCATCAACCATGCTGATAGGAGTGTATGCATACATTAATCATGTTGTAGTCATTTAGGTGTTTCCTCTTCTTTGGGTTAGATCCCCAGAAGTTAATTAATGTGTCAAAGGGCAAGGACCTCAATATCCATTAAGAAATTGTCTACAGTTCATACTGCCCCACCACGCCTGGCAGTAGGCTAAGCGCTCACAAACATACCTCATGTATTCTGCATAGTAACACGGCATCCATTTAAATAGTTCACAAACTAGGCTTACAGAAGGTAAGTAGCTTAACAAAAGTCATGTGCCTCCTTAGCAGTGACAATGGGATACAAACCTCTGTTTGTCAGACATGGAAGACTTTCCTTTTAGTCACCATCTCTGACACATCCTTCCTCTGCACCAGGTAACACCATTCTAAAAATTCTATCCATTTGTTCATGATATCCATTGTTGTTCTAACTTGCATTTAAAAAAATTTCTAGGGCACATGGGGGGCTCAGTTGGTTAAGTGTCTGACTTCTGCTCAGGTCCTGATCTCAGGGTCCTGAGATAGAGCCCCATGTCATCTGGCTCCCCCCTCAGCGGGAAGTCTGCTTCTCCCTTTCCCTCTGCCCCTCACCCAACTCGCGCTAGCTCTCGCTCTCTCTCTCATTCTCAAATAAATAAATAAAATCTTAAAAAGATTCTAGTGGGCTTCTTTTCAAGAATGAAAATATCCTCACTAATGTCAGATTAATTGAGGCAGAGCTGTCTTTTGGAAAAAGTAAAATCACAAATGTTCCTACAGCAAAGTCCAGAGATAGTAACTACTCTTCCACTTTTTTTTTTTCTTTTTCTCAGGTCAGTATCACCTCCTCTAGTAACAAATTTGCCAGAGCAAAGCTGTACCCCAAGTTTGAGGCTGTGCAGAAGGGGGAATGGTTGGGAGGTAGTGATGAGGCTGTAGGCAGAAGAGTAGGAGGTCATAAAAATGCCTCATTTCCCCATTGATTTAAAATCCAATAATTAGCTCAACCCTGGGTGTTCTCTGGATCTGTAGCCATGGGAGGTGGGGGTCTACAGACACTGAGATTCTCCTTTTATGTGAGCAATTCACTCACATCTGAGAGATCTGGGAGACCCCTTCCTCAGACTTGCTCTGTCCACTGAATGTCTAATGGATTTCAGGTACTTAGGAAATAGACAAGGGGACTCAGCATCCCTTGAAGGCCATTCAAGTGTCCTGGCTAGATTCTGATAGCAAGAAATTTAGATCAATGCTTCAGGGATTCTCTCTGGTTAAGGTAAAGCCATGTGTGGTGATCAACACTTTTCCTCATTGGGGAGAAGGACAACGTTGAAATCACTGGGGTGCCCCTGGTTCACTGCAGGTCATTCTCTTCCAGTCCATTCTCCACATCCCTTCACACTGTCCTCTGCTGACCTTCCCTGAGCAGCTGCCTGAGCTGTCCAAACTTCCCTGTTGTTCAAACATACCCCTACTATGTTCTCTGATGGCAAGTCCAAGGACAAATGAGTAGGAGAGAAGAGAAAGGAATAGATGGGAAATGCTTTCCACAACAAATCTGACCCAGCTCTCCTGGCAAGTGAATGTTTCCAGCTCAGCTCCCCATCACACAGCTGCTGCGCTGCCATTTCTGCTTCTAATCCTATCTCAGCTACACTTGCTGTTGGCAGAAACGTCACAGTGTTGAGAAACATCGATATCCACCCCCACCCCCATCGCCCCAGTAGACAGGAAGAAAAAAACATTAGCTAAATGCAAAAGTACTACTTTTGAAATCAGTAGATTATTTAATCTTTCTTAATAATACCATTTGCTACTTCAGAATCCTTCTCAAGGCAGCATTTGAGGGAGTACCCACCATGATTTAGAAACAGCATGCAAGAAGACAATTTACTTTAGGACGTTGTCAAAACAGAAAGTGGCAAAAAGTCTACAGACTATGTTTTACCCTAAGTACCCCTTCAATCTATTAATTCAACTTTCATTCCATCTCCCCCACCGCCACCACACTGCCTGCCAAAAAGGAAGCTCTGTTTCTCAAACCCCTTATTCCACTGCACGTTTAATTCATTAAAGTCAACATTTATTCAAGATTTCTCAAGCATTGTAAAACAATGTATTAAGCACAGGAGTTATCGATAAGTTATAAACATGGTGGAAATCCTTTGCATTAGTCCTTAAATGTACATTTTGACTGTAATAGGTACAAAGTGTGCCCTGACACAGGAGCGCACTGTGGCCAAATCTTCAACATAAATCAACCAACTCTGGCCCTATAGATGAGATAAAGAAGTCAGTATCACTGTCATGGGTCCCCTTCTCCCCTCCATAAATTACAAGACCTGCAGGGTCTTTCACTGTCCAAAAAGGAGGTCACTCTACATTGAAGAAGCTAAATCCTTGGTACCTGATGTGTTTCTCCTGACAACTCCATCATGTCCTGGTTGGACAGTGACCTTCTACTACATGACTGACTGCCAGTCAAGACGGAGTAGGGCAACAACTGTCACAGGTACCTGGAACACCTGAGTGGGGAACCTCCCTTTGTCCTCAGGGTGGCAGTTCTTAGTGCCCTGTGCTTTCACGTATGCTTTTCATGTTCATACATGCCCATCCTCCAACAGGCAAGGTACCCAAAAGTGCTGGCCCCAAGATAGAGCAGCCATTTGTCCTTTAGAGACCCCCAGATAATATCCATATTCCTTCTCAAGGATCCACCATGGCCTTTTCTTCACAACCCTTAAGACATAGAACTTCCCAACCCACCTTTCTCAGACAAAAAGTGATCACTCCAGATGGAGCACAGAACTTTGAAACCCTAACGATCAATGTTCATAGACCATCTTAGAGAGATTGTCCATATCTGTGTAAAAATGCTGTTCTACAACAGCAAACAACAAAAGCTGATACTGTCCCCTGTCGTGAGAAGGTTGATGGCCTCCTGTAGGTGGTCAGGACTTGAAACCCAAGAACCAAGTCCATGTCAGAGAAGGAAGCAAACCTTTTTCATTGATTCATCCTCCCCAAGGAGGCCCTTCCTCCAGAGGGCAGAGAAAAACCCCTACCTCACTGGTAGCTATGAAGGAGCAGTACACGGTTTTAGACAAAGGAAGCCTATCCTAATCTGGACAGTTACAAAAGGCCTCCTTAGGGAGGTGACACTAGCATTAAGATTTTACAGAGGCACAGGAGTGGCTATGTGGAGAGTTGGAAAGTGTGTTTTCTGATCACAGAGGGAAAGCATTTGCTAAGGTCAGAGGCAGGAAGGTGTATGGCGGGCATAGTCAGAGACTCAACAGGTCAGCTGACTACAGTTCAAATCCAGCATGTCGGCAGGCAAGATGAAGTCGAAAGGACAGAAAGAAGACAATCATGTCACTCTTCAGACCATGCTGAGGCACTAGAACTTGATACTATGGAAAAAGAATGGGAATGGGGGAAGGGGGATTGATGTAGAGGTTAGAATACACAGTCGTGTGGTGCTTCAGATGCATCCCTCAGGGGGCTTTCGTTAGGGAGTGAAGTGTATTGTGTCTGGAGGAGATGAGTGGCCAAGGGCCACACCTCAGGTAGCTGTTGCAGTTAGTAGACCAGAGCAGTTGAGGGCTTACGGAAGGCTCTATCTAGAATGGCAAAGGGGGAGAGGGAGAAAAGCAGATATTTTGCAGGTAAAATTGATAGGAGGTGCTATGCTGGGTGAAGGGATAGGAAGATCAAGCATAACTCCCACTCTCCTCTGCTTGAACAAGGGACTTCAGGTAAGAATGAGCAGACAGGGAAGGAAAAGATTTATTTTTTGTTAGATTTCTTTACAGTGCCCCACCTATTTTTCTTCATGTTAGTGTGCACTCAGAGGCAGTGGGCTGTTCAACTTAGGCAGAAATGGATTCTTATCATAAATATTTCCTGGAAAACCCATATATTCTATATGATCCTTATTTTCGGCTACTATAATTTGGAGGATAAAGGTAGAGAGTTGACTTGGGATCAAATTGGGCATGATGGTTGTTCTTCTGCTTTCCCAGGTCTGCCAATTTTGGGTAATCTGAGGCAAGTCACTTCTAGAGTCTTAGTTTCCTGTTTTGTGCCCTGAAACCATTGGACTAGTTTGTTCTAAGGTCCCCACTGCTTCCCCATTTCTAGGGTATCTGAGACTAAACACCCACATCCTTATCACCTGTCTTCTCTTTGGAGTGGGGCATAAGCATCATCTGAACCATTCCTATTATTGAGAAGTGTAACCAAGTATTAACATTTTAACATTTTAAAATACTTTTCTTTATAATGATTCAGGGCATAAGGAAGGACACTTAGGCTTTTCTCCTACCAATTCTTTTCGAACTGCAGGGAACAAAGCAAGGGTCTCTGCAAATGATGACATATATTTAAAATACAGTAAACAGAAAATGATATTGTTTCATATTTTAAAAAAAGATGACCAATTTTTATAAACATAATTAGCAGGGAGTAACAACCAATTGACCGACTATTCTTCTCTCTACCCCCTCTCCAAAAAAAGCTTCCATAATCACTTTACCAAGAGAATGCGAGGTTAACATTGAATTGCACCAGGATTTACAGTGTTTAACAATTTCTTGGAGATAATAAAATAAGTGAAATTATATGTAACCTGCTTAACTTGGTGCTGGTCCAAGGACCATGCAATGAGAAGCAGAAGAAAACAATAAGAGAGAACGCAGCTGCCTCCTTCCAAATAAATCCAAGTCACTCTGCCACCAAATCAGAAGTCTGTCAAATGCTGACTGTATTCCAAACAAAATCCATCCAACTAAAAGCTTTCTTCCATGGTGGAAGGGCTCGTCAAAAAGGCAATCTTTAGTAACAGCATAATTACCGTGGTCTCCTGATGACTTGTAAGTGATGAGTAGCTGACAGAGAGAAGTCTATACATTTAAGTCTTTGTCATGTGACCACAGAATGAATCAGATGAACTGTCACAAACAAGACTTATTTTTCATACAGAGGGACAAACTTCAGAAGATGCTGTTCTGCTGTGTACACAGTGGAGGAAACACCATCATGGTCTAAATGTGAGTGCATAATAGAAGGAACAGCCCAATATGCAATGAGCAGTGAGCCAATGGTCTCTTGTTTGTCAAATGTTGTTAAACATGTAAATCATCATCATTTTTCACATGTGCCTACTTCACAGCTGTAGGATTGTACATAATCTTTTGCTTATTTTAGATGAGGTCATGGATGTACATGAGACATTTTAGACCATAGCAGCCAAAGTTAACTGTGCCTGGATTTATACCTAGGTGTTACATTTGCCTTATCTTTCTGCTAAGGGATCCACCTTATTTCAAGATTGTTCCTTACTTAACTTGTGTTGGCTTTGCAGACTACAGGTTATGACTAAAGGGGCCATCAGTGATGAATTGTTCATGGGCATTTGTCACTTGTGGGCATTCTTCTCCAGTTAAACTTTGACCAGTGATGATAGACACCATCCTTTTCTAGTTATCTTGGTTTCGCAAGTGCATTCCTTCCCAACACATTTCACTACTCAAAGGTATCTATTCCTGCCTGTGATAGTGATTCAAGCCATTTAACTATTTTGTGGAAGACACCAGAAAGTTATCCTCTGCTTTAAATGATAGTCTTAAAGAACTCATAGATCAAAGGCAACTGAGGAGCCTGCAAGTTCAATGTCCTCTAACTCATTCTCAATCAGGCAGTTTGCCACTACTTCCTGCCTCTTTTTTTCCTAGGACTTCATTTCACCCACCAAATGCTGCTCACCACCTGACAATAAGACCCTGGCCTGGCTTAGAGTCGACTGGGGAGAGGACAGAGGTAAGACAATTGCTAGGTCCTGGTCTGAGACCTATTAGCCACCTGCTAGCACAGCAGGAAGTGCAATGGAACTGATGCAGTTGGACGCTGTGGCCTTGAACCTTGGCAGACAATCGGATTGGTTCCCCAGTGGTGGGGGAGGGAGGTGCCCCAGAAAACACACATGTGCATTCACAGTTTACTCTCCCCAAAAGGGGCAAGCCCACACCTTCCCTGAGCCTCTGATGTGGTGATAGGCTGGCCGTGGGGATTGGCGTTAGCTGGAAGATTGGCATGATCCAGAAATCCATCTACCAGATCTGGAACTCAAGGCCTCTCGCCCTGGAGACACCTAGTTGTCACACCTCTGCCCACCCCTGCAGAAAAACAGAGGGGAAAACAAAAAAAAGAATTGAAAGAGTGGACCAGCATTTATCTGTTGAAAAGAAACCTGAGGTCATTGATAGAAGTAGGCTAGGAAAATAACTTGACCAAATTTAGGATGAGTCTGAATCTAGTCTGGGGAACAAGGCAGTGGCTTAGATAGAGAGGCTATGTGAGTGGCTAGGGGAGACGGAGGATTGGTAGCCAGTCTACTCCCACTGGGATTCCTCAAATATTGTCACAGCCAAGTCCCAGTACATCCCTTCCTTGGGTCCTGAGTAGAGATGGTATGTCAGGAATGGCTGTCGTGCTGTACCAGAAAACCAATTTTTAAGACCTCAAGGGAATATAGCAGACCCATCTTGAGGTTCTGCTTACCTTGACTAGTTTTAGAGTTTCCTAAATGTGCACTTCTAAGGGTTATATTGCTGTGCTAAGCTGTTATTTACAAAATATTTTCATTGTGGGTGTTTGTTTTGTTTTTAATCATCATCCAGACATCACAACACCC